CTCATGTGAGGAAGGACAGCCAGCAATGTCGGCAGTCATCCCTCACACAAGAACAGGTTGTCAATGCCAAAGAAAAAGGAGGAGGCAGGTTAAGTGCCAATAAAATTCTTAAGCGCTCATGTACAGCATTCTGGTTTTCAACATATCTCCACCAGTTCTGCAGACACCAAAACCATTCCCACACTCGCTTGTAGTGCTCAGCCACATGATCCTACCTTCCAAGATTGGAAAGGATTTGCGCACTCCACACATTTCTACAGCACTCCCTCCAAAAGATGCTCATTTCGCTAATTCTTCTGATATGGCTGCCTCCACATCAGTCATTTCACTTGTCCCCTTTGCTAGGGACCATGGCTACATATATCTACCAGGGGTTCCTACCAGCTTCCATCCTGAAGCATCCTGGTATATCCCACCCTCATCTGCCCCCTCTCAGTCCATCCAGCTTGGACAGCGTGTTCTTTTTAAAGCTTGACCCCTGTTGACATCTGACTCACCCTGTCCATTTTTGGATGTACTATATCGGCATCAGATCAGCGCTGCCTCTCTGTCATCCCACTTTGGCCTAGAAGTGATCTCTTCGAGATGTGACATGCATGGCCTCCCCCTAATGTGATTCCAGTGCACTTTCCCAGTACCTGACATTGCTTGACTCATACTGTGACATTCTGACTGTCTTTGACTCACCTATTGCCAATACTTACCAATCTTTTGACTTTGCTTACTGATTCTTTGCTTTTTGGCTTACTTATCCTTACCAATGCTTACCAATGCTTTCCAAGACAATTACCCATCGCTTACATTCCTTACTCATCAGTTACCAATCACTTACCAAGTGTTTGCACCTTGTTTTCCATAGGCAACTGCCCCTGTACTGTATATAAGTCACTGTACTTAGGTAGCAAAAAAAAAAGAAGACATCAGAGAGCCCCTCTTGCTTGCAAGTTATCATCTCTCAGTAAATCATTCATCAGCTTTGATAGTTGAGACTTTATTAAGGGTCTAGCTATCATCTACTTCGCTTATCATCATCTATCATCCATATACTTTGCTCCAAGCCCTCCCTGAGCTCAGTACAGCTTAGGACATCAAATTAAGTCACCATCCATCCTTCTGTAGGCTGACAGCAGTCTACCCTATTGCTTTCTATCACATTCTTGCTCCCTCTTTGTCAGGAGCACCCCCAACCCTCAGCACTCATCTTTGAGTGTTGTAGCTCACAAAAACCCTCCCAAAGAACAGGTTCTACCATCTAGGTACTGCATAGGCACACCACCACTTGCTTTCATTGTCTTTTGTGTTGGTTTTGGTTGGTTTTCACCACTGAACCTCACTTTGACTCACACCGGAGAGACTGAAACGACCACATAAGACCTTTCCAAGTGAATGACAGACCTGAGGCAACCAAAGAACATCCTCCTGGAGGTCATACTGACAAAAAGAACATGCTGTCCAAGCTGGATGGGCTGAGAGGGGGCAGACGAGGGTGGGATGTACCAGGATGCTTCAGGACAGAAGCTGGTAGGAACTCCTGGTAGATATATGTAGCCATGGTCCCTAGCAAAGGGGACAAGTGAAATGACTGATGTGGAGGCAGCCATATCAGAAGAATTAGCGAAATGAGCATCTTTTGGAGGGAGTGCTGTAGAAATGTGTGGAGTGCACAAATCCTTTCCAATCTTGGAAGGTAGGATCACGTGGCTGAGCACTACAAGCGAGTGTGGGAATGGTTTTGGTGTCTGCAGAATTGGTGGAGATACATCGAAAACTGGAATGCCGTACATGGGCGCTTAAGAATTTTATTGGTGCTTAACCTGCCTCCTCCTTTTTCTTTGGCATTGACAACCTGTTCTTGTGTGAGGGATGACTGCCAACATTGCTGGCTGTCCTTCGTCACATGAGGGCTATGGTCCTCACCTCCATTCATCAGCTACATCCATGTCCACCTCACCAAACACCTTTGGTGTGTGACAACGCTGGAATATATATCTATTTGTCAAAAGCTGGCATTGTCATTTTCCTTGTCTATGTCAAGGATGGATTATTCTTAGGATTGGACAAACATCTTCTTAAAGCCAAGAAAGAAGAATTTATGAAGAAATGGGAATCCCGAGACCTTGATGAAGTCAAGGAATACCTTGGCATTCAAATTCACTGTGATTGATCAAGGAAAGAACTTTATCTTGATCAGATCCCTTATGTCAAAAAGGTCATTAAATGGTTTAACATGGAGACTGCTCAAAATGTTCACACTCCATTACCATTGGGATATCAACTGGAAAAAGCACCATCAGATTACCAAGCCACATCATCTCTTAGATCCCAGTACCAATCCATTATCAGCTCTCTCCTTTATATGGCTCTTGGAACTCGTCCAGATATTGCATTTGCTGTCATTTGCATTTCTCAATATATGGCGAATCCCACTGAGGATCATCACAACAAGGCCTTGCACATAGTTTGCTATGTTGCATCTACTCCTAAATTGGCCTTATATTATTCTGGACTTGAATCTCGGATCTTTGGCTTTGCAGATGCCGATTGGGCTGCAAATAAAGACACTTGTCATTCTACTACTGGTTATGCTATGTTCCTTGGAACATCCCTCATTTCTTGGTGATCTCATAAACAGAAGACTATTGCGCTCTCCTCTACAGAAGCCAAATATATGGCTCTCTGTGATGCCACATGTCAAATCAAATGGCTCTATATGCTGTTTGATGAACTTAAACTCAAGACCAAGAAAACAATACTTTACTGCAATAATATGGGAGCTTGCTTCATTGCTGAGAATCCTGTATCAGACGGTCATTCTAAACATATTGACATCCAATGGCACTTCATTTGTGAATGTGTACAAGATGGTTTGTTTGGTATTGAATATGTTCAAACTGACAAACAAAAAGCAGACAGTCTTACAAAATCCTTAATGTGGCAAAAGTTTGAAACAAATCACTCATCAATGGGACTTGTTAATCTCCCATTCTAGAGCAAGGGGGAGTGTTGGAAATATCATAATAGTTCCAACTCTAGACTTACACGTGTAACAACATGTTGTACATCACATGACTTTGCTTCATCAGCAGCTCCACAGTGACATCAGTATGACATCACTTATTGTGTCATATTCCATAGCATTCTCTGCTATTTGATACTCTATTTAGTAACAATACTGTAGTTCCTTCCTTATATGTTACTGGTCCATGTGTATAGCTACATGTATATAAACTCGGGGTATCTCTCCTAGAGTCCCCAGTATTGTCTACACAGACAATCTACTTGTTCATACGAACACTCAAGCCCCAAATGCTTACTCTTCAAACCTACTCACTAACTCATAAAGACAAGTGCTCTTGTCTAGCTCTTTGTAGTAGCCCATCCTCTGCATAATAATAGCCAGAAATGGCATGCCAGTGCTCCTGTGAGGCACTGTCAGCATCCATATAGCCCTTGAGGCCATATCTATCCCCTCCAAATGTCAATGTGAGCCCTTTCATGCCTAAAAGGTATCTAAATATTCTTTTTACACCCTCCCAATGTGCTAACCTGGGGTTATTGCAGAATTGTGACAATGTTGCAACAGTAAAAGCCATGTCAGGGCATGTGGCAACTGCTAGGTGCATCAGTGAGCTGATGGCTTCACAATATGGCATGTTTTTCATGCATGCAGCCTCAGCATGTGTTTTTGGGCACTGGGCAGTCAAGAATTGGACTGAGGGGTCCATAGGTGTTGTGATGGGCCATAGATCTACAAAATTATATTTTAACATCATAGAATTGATGTAGGATGCCTGTGAGAGTGAGAGCATGTGTGCTGAGTGGTTATGCATGACTTTTATTCCAAGTAGGGATGAAATGGGGCCTAAATCTGTTAACTTGAAGTTTGTGGCCACTTCAGATTTGAACCTTTTAATTAAGCTAGGGTTATTGCTGGTGATGGTGCAGTCATCAACATGTGATGCAAGGAGTAGGATGTCCTGGCCAAGCATAGCAAGTGCAGTGCACAGCCACTCATACCACTTCAACACTCCTTGCTTTGATCTGTAAAGCACTACATGCAGTCAGGCAACAGGATGTTTATATTTGCTGTTAACTGAGAGTCCAGGTGGCAGTTGCATGTAGATTACTTCATCATCATCTGACTTCCCATTTAGGAAAGTGCTCTGGAAGTCAAAAACATTAACATCCCAGTTGTTCTGTGCTGCAATAGTGAGGATGGTGTGGATAGATGCCATGGACCTGCAAGTAGCCTTTTGTTACAAGTTGTGCTTTGTATTTTTCAATTTCTCCCTCTGTGTTTCATTTGATATGAAATACCCATTTACAGCTGACCATGTTGACACTGTGTGGTCTCTCAATGATGCTCCATGTTTGTGCTTTGTCCAATGAGGTAAGTTCTTTATTGATTGCTTCCTCCCACTTTGACCAATCAGGTCTCACACAAGCATCTTCAATCATGATGGGATCTGTCCCTTCTAGCTCCACAGTCCCAGCAACCAAGGCAAAAACTTCTTCATTGTCTTCATCCATCACCCCCATCATGCCCAAGAGGCATGCAATGTTAAAGCACTGTACACTAACTCCAGAAACCTCAAGGGCAACCCCCACCCCTGTGACTGTCACACAATTTCCATATTTAGGTTGATTTGTGACATTTTTTGGTGAGGACCCTGTCCACTGCTCTGTACAGGGAGAGACTGGGCAAACACAGCATCATCTTCTTCTATGCTGTATGAACACTGTATGACTAAAAGTACATATGAACAAGCACTGGTATCTGATTTTCCTGAAAAGCATGAGGATTGTGAGCATGAAAAGCAGGAACAAGAACATGAACTGATAGCAGGAATGACTGAGTGAAAAGACTGCATGTGAGAATGTTTGATACTTCCACCTGAAGCTGCAAGCCCCTTCAAACCAGTTCTCTTCCTCTTCTGCCTGGTGGATGCCTCCAACTCATGATTCTCCTTCTCAGCGATGAGGGTAAATGTGGGGCAAGGAGGGACACCAGCTTTCTTCTCCTCAATGGGCATCACATACAAGAGATTGAAGACTTGGTGGGGCAAAGGATGGCCCATCACCTTTCCAGGGTGAGTGTACTTGGGGTGGAAGAAGTTGAGGTGCTGCTGCATGTTATAATGCCACACTGCATCTCAAAACTCTGTGTCATGACCCCAGTGGACACATAATAAACAGACAACAGGGACATTGCAGCATGGATGGGCACTCAATCCTCACTCCCCAAAGCCATACTTAAATGGAACCTGGTAAGCACAACATGTATCAATCTCCTTCATATGCTTTGTTGTCTTCAGCTTGATAGTACAATCTGGGTGACCCAAATGTCCACAGAAGCCACAGGGGAACATGTTACCAACAGTGGAATGCAAGCCAGATTCTTCTATTCCTTGTGATGCATGCAGGATGTGCATCCCCATGTGAGAGTGTAGGTCAGCAGTTGACTTGTGACAGAGAGGGCAGAGGATTTCACCATTCCCATTACTGGCACCCAGTGTGACCCTTGCATCATCACAAGAAAATGCTCAAGAACCTGCAAGTAGTTAAGTATATAAATCCATATGAGAATGTTGCTATGTTACCATCTGCTGCACAATACAGGAAGCTTGGGTTTGGACTCTGCATCAGGGTGATATTGGTGATGGTGAGCTTTGAATCCATAAGCCATTTCCATAGTATGTCAACAGCCACCTCAAGTGTGTCATTACTGATAGCCCATGTCACACTGTGTGAGTTGACTTCAGACAACTGCTCAGTAGGAAGGTAATCAGCAGCTGTGACAACGCTTGGATCAACGAGCTCAATCAATGCACCAAGGGTCATCACCTCAACCACCTTTTGTGTGGAGATGTTGGACCCAGGAAGGGGAGACACAGTCTTCAGATATGATCCATTCCAAATCCAAAGGTAATTGTCATCAGGCTTGGGTGGCGGGGCAGGTAGTAGGTTGAGTACTTCAACAGTTACCTTCACCTTTCCAGCTGCAGAGAGGAGTGTGTCAATGTTTATATCTGAGCAGGATACACCACCCTCATTGATCACAGTAGAATGAAGGAGTGCGAGATGTGTGGCATTGTCACAAAAGTGGATGAGGGTCAAGTAGGGATTGCCAACAACAAAAGCAGGTGTAGAGTCCAATACTGATGAACTGCTGCACATGAGCTCATTAACTGGTGTGAAACCTCAAACTCAAAGAAGGCAATCATGCAATTTTGGCATGAAGTTTCCATTCAAAAGAATGTGACAGACCATAGACTTGTGAACATGTTTGCCATTGACAAGGAGATAATTGAGAGGTCAAACCCCTGGGCCAGACAGTGGTGATGGTAGTAGAGGATCTCTGCCTTTGGCTGACAAGACACTGTCTTGCACACCCTGGTCCTCAAGCTCATCTTCCAAACTGCATATGTCCTCACTAACCTCCTCTCTTTCATTGTCATGGACTTGAAGCACTTCCTGGGAGTCCTCCTCATTCTGAACCCCACCTGGATCCTTGCAACATTCGACCACTGTGATGCTGACTGGAGTCAGCAAGATGGAACTGAGGTCTTCATCATCACCATCATTGATTCCTGGGTAGTGTCCACAACCAAACACAGAGAGCAGGTCCACATCAAATTCTGAGAATAGAACATTGAAAGCATAGTTATTTGCATCACAAGTCAAGCCAATGAGCAGGCTCAATGCAATAGCACATCCATGAGTCCATGCAGTGTGGAGGTTACAACTGTGTGATGTGAGGTCACCCTTCCACATCTCATGGTTGATGTGGTTGACATGCTCAGAGTGGGAAAAGTTGAGATGATGATGACCATGGCTGAGGTCTGGGTTCTGAGTGTAGATACTTCCAAGGTCCCTCACTGCATGCAGACAATCAATTGCTTGCTTGTAGTTGATTGCACTGTTATGGCCACCACACATGTGCAGGAATGCGAAGAGTAGCTCAATGGCATTGTCTCCCACATCTGGGAGATAGAAATCTGCAGAAGGCTTGAGTTGCTGCTGCTTTGTGATACAAAAGATGGCATTCTTAACCATGGTTTGCATATCATAGTACAACTGGTTTGGCATGAAGGCATGTTGATGTTCATGATATAGAGCAAAGAGTAAATGAGCAAAGGCAGACAGGTGAGTGACTTGTTCTGACAGAGATAATGTAACATTGATAAATGGCTCCAGAAGGTGATGCAAGAGTTGACCTAACATTGAGAGTGCTTCAAAGTCAACAATAGCATTGCCATCTGATAGGTAGTGGGGCTGGGTATATGGCACCTGTGTGGGGTCAATGTGACTGAGCTGTGTGATTGCCTTGACATGTTCCACTGCCTGAGGAACATCCTGTGGGTCATCAGGGTAGACAAGCTTCTGTGCCTTGATGCAGTCACAGCCATCAAGCCAGGTAAGATACTGGGGCAAAAACTTCACATTGATGTGATGCCCATTGTTGAGCATTAGGCCATTCATTGAGCAGAGCATCATACAGAAGCCTGGATCATGAAATGAATTTAGATCATCACAAGAACTATGTATCACTTACACTTGATAATATGTTTGTGGTCAAAGTCAAGTGTCATGTTGTGTGGTCCAGTGTAAAGATTAAGGCCAGGAAGGTCAGACAGTATGCCATAGAGAGAGGACAATTCATTGAGCTTTGACTTCATAAAAACCTTATGTCCAGCTTTGCATCTGGTTGAGTCCCCATCTGTTGCAAAAGACCATAGTGGGCCAACCATCTCTTGAGCATCACCAGAGTACCGCACATCAATAGTAGTCTTCATGAGCTTCTCCCAGTCATTGTGGTCCTCCTCCTTGCATAAGGGTGTGGCAAGTACAGGATATGTTTCAACCTCACCAAAGCAATGCATGGCAACGACAGTCATCTCTTTGCCAAGGTGCACCTCACCAGATGTGAGTTTGGTGGCAATAAGTGTAGCTAACTTGAAGGTGTTGAGTATAGGATCAATAGCATGACTATGCTTCCAACAGAGACCCCCAACTCTGTTTGCAGAGGGAAAGTAAACAGTGCATTCTTCAAGTGCAACTTCATCTGTAAGCAGGCTGACCCCATGCAGAGCAGTGTGGCCAGCTGTGAATCAAGGTTCAACAATGACTCCACAGATATTCATGGCAATGGCATCAAGTGTGATTGGTCCAATTGTTGGAGTGATTGTGATGGTACTGAAATGGTTCTGAATGACAGAATGAAGAGAGGGGAGAGCGAGGTGTTGGTTGAGTGCATAGAGCAGGTTGGCACCACCAAGACAATAGACAAGAAGGGCAAGATCATAGGCATCTTTTGTATAGTTGTGGGGTTTGTAGCCATGTTCTATGGCCTCCTCAATTTTGTGCAAGATTGCATTGATACCAGCACCATTTTTAAGAAGGGTGGACAAAAACTGTCTGAGCCATGGAAGATCAGACTGGGATAGGGCCATGACCAATGCAGAGTGAGACTTGATAGTTGAAAGTTTGTGGGCAATGGTATGACCATCATTCAGAGTCTGTATATCAGTGTCATCATTAGCACAATCACCTACTTTGTGAAAGAAATGACTTGCCTTTAGCTTCCACCTATTGAGCTTTTGATCATGATGATCAATTGCAAGTGAAAGCTGGACCATGTTCTGAAGAGAGCATCAAGTACCTGGCTGGTAACCTGGCCAGGTATCACCAAGTTGCATGACTTCAGACTCAAGACCTGCACAAGGTGGGCAGCAGAGAGACCTTGGCTGCATGATATGATAACATTCTACTGACCACACATATACCTGGCCATCAAGGATGTTGAGCATAAAGGGTAACTCATCAGAGTGTCCAGTGAGCATGTGATGCCATGGCAAAGCCATCTGCATGTTTGCATTTTGAGGGAGACTCCAGTGAAAGGGAAAACCATAGCATGGTGGAAGTGGGGGACCAAAAACAGGTCCAGTAGGAAAGAAGAGGTTGTCTTCATTGAGGGAAGACTGGGAAGTCAGATCTTCCACACTATTAAATGGTTCTAAGTGCTAAACATTGTAAATAGCTATGGAGATGACTTACCCAGGCTCAATCAAAGTACTGGAAACATTTGAGCTAGTACAGATGAATGACTCTGCAGATGGAACTAAGGGACTGCATCAAAGTCTTGGAGCACAGACTTGGTTGCATCCTTCTCCCTGCACTGAAGTGCTGCATGACACTGTTTCTGATGATAGTGGTTGGCCAGGGCTGTAAACTGGCCAGGGTGTTGGAGGGTGATACTGCTGGAAATGCTCATTTTGACTGCAAGTTGGCAGCTTGGACATTCAAAGACATGAAACTTGGTAACTGATGATAGGTTTGAGAGTGTGCCATGATTGTATAAGATGAGGAAAGCCCAAGGTGTCCCCATGTCAAGAAGTTCACTGATCTCTTGATCAGAAAGCTGCTGTTGACCAGGGAGCTGTGGTGGCAGTACTGGTTGAGGTGAATGTATGGGTGGGAAAGCTGTTGCACTTGGTGATTCATTTAGGCAAGCAGTGCCATGGTCTTGAGGACATGATGATGGGGATATTAATTCAGCCAATGGTGCATGAGATAGACTAGAATTATGATAGCAAATTGTTGACTGGACTGTGTGTGATTGGGTATTAAAATTGGAGGGAGAAGGCAAGTGCCATGCTCGAGGATTCTGGGACTCAACCCAGCAAGTATGATTGTCCTGAGTGGCAGGACACATTCTAAGGCATCAGGGTATTAACAATAATGATATTTCCATTGAGCAATGGAGGAAAAAGAAGGAAAGAGAGTGAAGGAGAGTGCAATGAGACACATCTCAAGCACAACATTGATGTATGCATGATCACATCAGGGGCTATTTCTTGCCCATTTTGGACTTGACTTTGAACATCTCATATCTCAGCCATATCTCAGAAACAACAGCAATCTGTGTTAAGCTAAGTATCCAGAAGTATAGATAGCACACTGATTTGGGTCCCTTAAATAAGCTCACAAGTGGGAAAAAAGCTGAGTTGAACATGCTAGGATGAAACCAAGCAAAATTGCTGCATTAACCTCTATTTTGTCAAAAGAGGGAAAAACATTGTGACCCCAGACACCAGTTGGCTGGGGGACCCGAAGTGGGTTAGTGTTCAGCATTCTCCAAATGCACACCTCTTGATCATGCCCAGGTTTGCTGTCTCTCTATTCTCCTCTTGTTGCAAGCCTGGTTGTATTCCTCAAGGTAATGGTAGTGTAGGTAGTGGGATTCATCTGTCATATGTACCCTCACCCTCATGCAGGTGCCATACATATGCTGACTCAACATGTGTGTGACCAGAGCAATGGGTGGGTGCTGCAGGTTTGAACCTTAGTCCAAGGTGGTCAATGGAAGTATTTGGTGTCATAGGTGCACTTTCTGTGGTTCATATGGCATGCTGATTGTTTTTACCAGCTATGTGTGAGGTGGATGATGCTCCCTTGTCATCTGTGATGCATTTCTCCCCCTCAAGCTGCATGCTGATAGGAATGGTGACCTCCTGCAAGCTGAATCAGACATTTCATTTGACACCCACATGTCATGAGTCCTTGAAATAAATTCTGTGCACATTTGTGTCCTTATTGAAGCCCACCCAGCAACCATCTTTCACACACATGTCTAGTTTTGAACCACCAGCTGTGTGGACCTTGACATGGCAGCCCCAGGTTGGTAGATAGATAGATCTGGTTTCTTTTTACACAGCATTTCATAGGGTGTCTTTTTGTTGAGTGTGTGGGTGGAGGTTCAGTTCTTTAACCAGTTTGCATGCATTATGGCTTCTCCCCATAGTGACTTTGGGAGGCCACTTGCATTTAGCATGGCACATACACACTCAACAAGTGTGCAGTTCAGCCTTTCAGTGACACCATTATGCTGTGGTGTATCATGCACTGTGAGCTTCCTCTCTGTTCCTTTCAGCCCAAGATGATATGAAAATTCTTTGCTTAGGAATTCCCCACCCTGGTCCAAGCAAAGCCTTTTAACCTTTGTGTTGAACTGCATCAGCAGCCAGGCTTCATACTTCTGGTAGGACTTGAAGGTTTCATCCTTTGACTTCAGGAGATACAGGCTTGTAAAGTGAGTGTGGTCATTGGTGTATGACATGAAATGCTGACTCCTTGCATTTGTTTGGACAGGGGATGGTCCCCATAAGTCTGTATGGATTTCATCACCAACCCTGTCTCAGTGTGGGGGGTCTCAGATTTTTCCTATGGGTTTTCAGGTTGCCTTGGCATACTTGCATGCATTGCAAGATTCAATTGTTGCATGGGAAGGGTCTAGGCTTATTCCAGTTACAATGCCATCCTTTAGCATTTGTTTAATAGTGTCTGGTGATATATGATCAAGCCATGCATGGACATCTTCCATGGTAAGGGCTACTCTCAAGTTTGCCAAGCCTGCATAAACCTTCTGCATGGCTTTGGTTGTATAGAGGCCACTGCTGACTGGTACTTCCCCAAGGAGTTTCTTTTGTCCATTAAAGATCTTGCAGTGTGAGTTACAGAAGAGTATGGCATCTCCACTTGTGTCTAGGCAGCTAATGGATACCAGGGTCATGCTGATCTTAGGTGTATGGAGGACATCCTTCAAGAGGATATGAGTGGGTGAGTTGCCATTTGGTAGGGATATGTACACATCTCCTTTTCCAATGGCTTCAAAGGTTCATTTGTCCACTGCAGTAATGGGTTTGGGAGTAATGGGCTTATAGTTGACAAAGTTTTCCTTGTATGATGACATGTGACGAGAGGCTCCAGAGTCATATAGTGTAGTGTAGTTCGGTGGTCTTGTGTATGCACTAGTAGTGAATGTCTCTGGGGATGGTTGAGCTTCATCAACCTCAGCTTCATAGTTGTCATTGATATGTGCAAGCCATACCCCATCTGGGTCACTGCTGCTGTCATCCTTGGCCACTGCTGCACACTCTTTTTGTTTCCCTTTGTTTGGAGACTTCCCTCCACTTTGTGAGTCATCCCCACTTGACCTGCATTCACAAGCTTGGTGCCCATGTTTTCCACATTTGTAGCAAGTTCCAGCAAACTTCTTCTGCTTTCCTCCAGCCAAGTATGCTGCATCATCTGCATTGCTAGACTTTTTCTGCTTTGTGGCACAATGGTCATACTTGTCTTGTACTGCATCCATGAGAGTTGCAGTTGTTAGGGTAGTGGAGGTGGAAAATTTTGCAAGTGTGGACATTGCTTCAATGACAGAATCATAAGAGCTTGGGAGGGATGTCATGACCATGGCCATATAGCTTTCATCTGTTGGGGCTTGGCCCATTGAGGCAAGTTGTTCATGTATTTTCTGCATTTTGTCAAAGTGTTCCCTGACATTTCCTTTCTCTGTGCATTTTATAGTTTGGAGCTTCTTCAGCAGTTTGACCAATACAACATGAAAGTGCTTCTCAAAGAGGTTGGATAGGTATGTCCAGATGTTGAGTGCAGTAGTGAGACTCTTTATTTGGATGAACAGTGTGTCAGGGATTGTGCTGGTGATTTGTTGCTGATGATGGCTTGGCCAAGCCTCCATTCTTTCAGAGTAGCTTGGTAGTTTGTCACTTCCTTTTTCTCCTCCACAGAGACAGGTATCCAGCTCTTGCTCCAGTTTGGTAGTGTCTTGGGGTTGACTGGCATTGTCTCAGTACCATCTATGTACCTGAGCAGCCCACAAGTGTCCAAAGACCACATTAGCCTGTCCTTGTATGTTACCCAGTTCTCTCCATCTGCTGAGAGCTTTGGGACCTTAAGGAAATCATCTCCAAGATTGGATGTGAATGACATGTTGCTATGGGTTCCCAGTTAGTGAGCAACAGGGCTCATAACCTGTAGAATATATGCTCAGTTGGGTTAAGTAGCCAACTATATTATGTACCTGTAGAATATATACTACAGGACTATTAGCTGAGTGTAAAGACAGGATGTAGAAAGTGCTCACCTCAGTTGGGTTAAGTAGCCAACTGAGGTGTGAGTATGCTACTTGAGTATGAAAATGAATGTGATTATGTAATATGGCCAAATGCACACCATAATACTAAGTGGGATGCAGATAAAAGTATAATATGAAAGACAGAATATACAACAGTCTACATCTCTGTATCAATGACTAGTCTCCAATCATCTGTAGTCACATGAACTCAACCATTCTGTATCCACTATTAGTTTCCAAACATCTGTATACTGCTGCTGAGCTCTTTGTTGATTCCCACCATTGCTTTGTGTCCTCATCTGTTTTCTGCAAATGTTTGTCTTCCCTTTGCAAGTGTTTGCAGGGGTGCTTGTGTGAAAAGTTGCTTGTTGAAGTCTCTTAAAAGGTGGATTGTATCCTCTTAAGAGGAGGCTGAAATTAAGACTATAAAGAAGGTCTCAGGCTTCTGTGGTAAGAAGACTGAGGTGCATGAGGAAAAACTAACTGCCTAAGTGCAAAGAATTATTATGTAAGCTTGTACACTGTAAGCAGATAAACATAGGGGACACATGTTCCAACATGTCCCACCCTTGGCCATGTGACAATGCCACATATGTGTTAAATGGTGTCAGCTGCCCAGTAGGTGGCATGCTGATGTTGATGACACAGTGTTCCAGGGTCTGCACTTGTGCACAATAATCCATAAAAGCATAGGCAGGTGTTATCAGCAACTGCAATCAGGATATTGTTGATTGCTTGCCAATTCCTGTTGTGATGGTGAATGTTCTACAGATAGGTGTCACTGGCAGTACCCCTGCATGCAATCCTGGTAGAGTCTTGGCCTTGGTATGCTTCATCTTTACAAGCACATACAAAGGTGGGTATTGTTGATGCACATTAATTATATTTCTTACACTGGTAATATCTTACATAAGCACAGTCATTTTGGCACATTGTTTTTTCCTTTGTGCACCTCAATCTTCTCCCAATAGAAGCCTGAGGTGAGGTTCCTTTATTATGAGTTACAGTTATCTTACTGAAGCTATTTAGTATCTTCTCTTATTAGGTTAGCCCTGCTCAGCTCTAACCACTGCAGTTTTAATTCCAGTTGCTCACTAGTTCTACAAGGTTGTACTAAACAATGTCAAATCCAACTCCATCTATCCTGGTTGGTCCTCAGACAGGTCCTTCTACTGCTACAGTCACTACTCTGTTGTCATCTAGTGAGGTTGCTGCTCCCTTGAGTCAGCTCTATGATATTCCATTGCTTGCAGATGATGGAGGAAACTTTCAAATGTGGAAGTTTCATGTACAGAAAGTTCTTAAGATTTGAGGCCTGTGGGAGGTGGTTGGTGGCTCAGTCATGAAGGCTCCTGATGCTGCCACTCACCCAGATGAGCATGTGGAGTGGATGATGAAAGATAGGGAAGCCAGTGCACAGATTACCCTGACACTCAAGGATGAGCCTCTGAGTGGGGTCATGTATGCAAAAACTGTTGTAGACCTGGAAGCACCTTAGCGAATGGTATGAGGGCAAAGGGAAACAGACAATTGCCTACCTCATTGGAGAACTTTTTCATGGAACCTTTGTTGACGATAGCTCAATGGAGACTCAGCTAAATGCAATGTGACAGAAGGTGCTCATACTGAACTCACTTGGACAGACTCTTGATGAGTCACTGGTTGCAATTGTGATGGTGATCTCCTTACCTGCTTCATACTCAGTCCTTCAAACCATTCTCATGTCAACAAATGACAAGTTGACTGTGGACTCTGTAATCTCACAAGTCCTCATAGAGGAGAGGACATGCCAGGGCTTGCAGGGTCACTCAGCCCTCACAACCAGAACTGGTGTGAACTCAAAGTCCAAACATGATAACCCCTAACCCTAGCCCTAAACCATGAGTGTATGAAATAAGGTACTTACTCTTGGCTTTCTATTGATCCATGAATCAAGTGATTTGGATAGGAATTGATAGAATAGCAGCCATTTGAAAATGACATGTCATGCAGACAGTTTTTTGACTTAAAGTTTTGATTATATATATTGACCCTGGCATGCTGTTATATTGTTACATACATCCATCAAGGGTTCTATTATGTTACCTTTATGTAATGAGTATGATCCAGCATATATAAACCCCACCACCCTCTGCTCATTATCTCATCATCACCATCAAGTCCATTTCCACCTCTCTCAAAGACAAAACATCATCTCTCTTGCCTCTCTTGGCCTGTCCACTAGGAAGATTGCCTCACAGACTGGTCTAGGGAAGTCTACAGTATCCCAGGTTATTCAGGAAATCCAACCAGAGAGGTCTAGGCTTCATGGTGGTTGCCCTTCCAAGCTTTCCTCTACCAACAAGAGAGCTATTGTTCAGCAAATCCTTACTGGCAAGGCCAAAAATGCTGTTCAAGCCACTCATTTCATCAACTCTATTGTTGATAGTCCTGTTTCTTCTCAGACAGTGAGAAACACCCTCAAAGAAAAAGAAGCCTCATTGAAGGCTGTGGTGAAGAAGAGAAAGCCATTGCTTTCTACTGGTCACAAGAAGAAGAGGTTAGCCTTTGCTCTTAAGTATCAGCATTGGACTGTGGAGGACTGGAAGAGAGTTATATGGTCAGATGAGACCAAAATCAACAGGATTTGGTCAGATGGACAAGAGTATGTGTGGAAAAAGAAGGGTGAAGGGCTTATTTCCAGAGAGGTCAAAGGTACAGTCATGTTTGGAGGAGGTTCACTCATGGTTTGGGGATATATAGGGTAGAATGTTGTTGGGGTCTTGAGTGAGGTTGAGGGATGGATGGATGCTGAACAGTATGTGGCCATTTTGCAGGAAGGGTTGCTTCAAAGCATGAAGGAATCTGGAATTCCAGAAGATAACATTATCTTTCAACAACATAATGACCCCAAGCATACCTCTAGAAGAGCCCAGAAATGGTTTGAAGAGCAGGATATCAAGCTTCTAGACTGGCCTGCACTCTCTCAGGTTATGAGAGTGCTCCTACAGGAGTTCATCAATTATGGGAAAGGGTGGTAGTGGAGTAGGGGAAGATTTCTGTGGAAGAGTGTCAAAAATGGATAGAAAGCATGCCTAGAAGGGTTGAAGCAGTTATCAAGGCCAAAGGAGCAAGCTCATACCAAGTACTAGATAGTTGGATTTTTATACAGTCAAAAAACTGTCTGCATGACATATTGGGGCTTGTAGGTGCTGAGTTACCCTGTGGTAGCTGTACAAAATATGAATATGGTGTCCATGTGACCATTGACAGATTTTGAATGCATCACTGGTATGTTTGTCAATTTAAATGTATTTTCAGCAACAGAAATAAGGTCATCAAGCCATTTTATCAGGAGCATGACCTCAGGATCTGCTTGTGAAGCAAGCTGTGTGATATACAACTCAAGCATGTCTGCAACTGCTTCAAGCCCCTGACCCTGCTCTTGGAAGGTAATTGGACCATTGTTTTGTTGTCCTAGACAAATTTCCAGTTGACAGCTAACTGCACCAGCTTCACCAAAGTCTTCAATCTCATCTGGCAAGACTGAAAAGGCATCAAAGCCATCTGACTGGTGCCAGTTGTAGGGTCAACAAGCAGAATGGGGGCTGGGAGATTTACAAGGTGGAGCTGAAGATGACCAATGTTGGCTCTTGTCTGGTCATCCATGTGTCAGAAACACAGTACACAACTTTTTTTGGTCTGGTGATATTGATGTAGCATAATACAGTACTTCATAAGTTGACAGCTGTCAGACCTTCAGACAGGCAGTTACCTATTTCACCCTATTTAACATGGTCCATTCAGCCCTGTGCTATTTAACATGCAAATTAACCACATTAACAGCTGTTAATTTGCATGTGCTAATTTACACCCCCCTGCTTCACCATACCCTATAGAAGAGTGGGAGAACATTGAGGATGATTACATTATGAACCTTTATGAGAGCTTGCCAGATCATGTTCAGGTGTTGTCAGAGGCCAAGGGTGCCCACACTAGATATTAGGACATTTTGTTGCTTCATCTGCTTGTTTTCATTCAATACAACATGATTGTTTTAAGTCGTCTGACATCAAAAAATGAATTGCACAGCACTTTTTGAGAAATCCATGTAACAGAACTAAACATCTTGTTGTTCTATATTTATATACTATTGCATCTTCTGCAGGGTTTTAGCTCTTGAACAAGCCCCTTATCTTGTAATGGCATGCAGTTGATGAGGAGGAGCCAGTCAGGGAAAAGATTATGTCATGCTGTGCATTTCCATTTTGAGTCACTGTAAGGTTAAGGTTCACATATAAATTAGTACACAGTTTGAAGGTTTTCTCTTGGATTGTATGCAAATATTATATCCCAAGCTTGGTACTACATTTAGGACTGTCCTAAATACTGATTGCTGCATTGTGTTAGTGCACTGCACTGTGCAACTAATAATATCCTGTTCCGCCAATCCGAAGTGGTGAAAGTCACGTGCGCGGCCCTTTCCGAATATGGGGTACATTTATGTGAGATCAGATTCAGTCGACGAGACTTTTGTTAAGAAGACACGACCATCGACAACCAAGTTGGACACCCCGCCGGTGACTTCGATATCGTAGACGATCAGCCCAAACTATCGTTGAACAATACACCGGTCATAACAATTAGAAAACGCGCTGTTCACAACCTAGTCTTGGAGCAACCAGTTGTACTCGGCGAGGTGACAGTCACTACCGCGTAAGCACACGCCGTCGTTTGTAGATTAATTGTTGTGCCATTCTGATCATGCTTGCAGTCGACAGAATGACCGCAGCAAAATCCAAGATATTGAAAGAGCATTCGAAAAGCGCAGCTGTGTCCACCCCTCACACTCGTTCACAGGAACTGGCTGCCCAGGAACTCCCACCCGTCCTTAACGGGAGGAAGAACAAGAAGAAGAAAGGAAAGGGAAAGGAACCTGCAGTACCAACCCTTCATCCAGCATTTGCTGACCCAAGCTCTTACGATGACGACGAGATCCCCAGTCTGGAGGAGGCTGACTCTCCAACTTCCCCTAGGACGGGTTTTTCGCCTGTACTTGAATCCGTGCATGTCTCCGCGACAACCATCGCTCGCTCGGGCAACGGAATAACAACGCAAGTGCAGACGGGGCTACTGGCGGCCGATTTACATGGCAATCACGCGGAGATACCGAGCAATGGATACGCGGGAGGGAAACGACCACATACGATGCCACACATCCCACTTCCAAAAACCACTGGTCCGACTGGTCCAGGGATGGTGGATGAAGAGTACTGGTCGTCGTTTCCTCCCCATATCAAAACTTTTGTGAGCGTGTTTCACGACTGGTAACTTAGAAAGCACGCTGATGGCGTTCATCAAGGCGCAGACAATGTACAACATCGCGCAACAGATGGTTCAATCAGATTCCTATATGAAGGCCACAGGTGCTGCGACGATGGCCACCGAGGGACTACCAGGCTTCTCCCCGGACGCACACCCTCCACTGCCATTTGATCCGTCCATTTTCTCTGATCCCGCATTCACATTGTCTGTCGAGCAAGCAGCAGTACTAGCACTAAGTGCAGCCCCACTACCGGCAGGACAGTCTCCCCGCGGACCGCACCCACAGTCGAATGTTGTGCTGTTAAACGAGTTTGGAGACGGTGAGCACAGAGTGGCAGAAGACGACTATTACAGTGAGGATGACATCGAAGGCAAATATGAGGGCGAGGGGGACCTGGACGGGTTTGAGTTCCATGCAAGTGGCATGGTCCCGCACCCACCAAATATGCCCGATGCTGTTGCACAAGTTGTTCTGAGTTACGGAGAGCACGTAACCCGTGGCCGTGCAGCAGCCCAGTCGACGCTAGTGGCAAGCAGTGATGAGAGTGTTGAGCCAGTTGTTACTGCTACTAGTGTATTGGATGATAGTTCGGCCGGCCGTAAGGGAAAGAAGAAGAAAGGGAACAAAGATGGGACCGATGCCCCGGCCGGGGTCCCGACGGCACCCGTGCCGAACACTGTAGAAGCGCGATCGGCACCGCCGGCACCGGGGCTGTCGCCGGAAAAGCCCACGGCGGGACTGGAATCGCCTCAGTCTCCCACCGCGAACAACGCCATGCCTGCTACAAGAAAAGAAAATCTGCCTGCAAATCCCCCGCCGAGCTCGCGTGCACAGGGAAAACAGCCAATGGCCTATGCGCCCTCCACGGCAGCGACAACGGCCACCGCTCCGCCCAACGGACAGCAGACAAGGACGGCCAGAGCAGCATCAAAGGCTCCGATGTCCGCTCATAACTACAATAACCACTCGCATCATCATCCCTCGCCTCCATCGTCCAATGCATCTGCGACTAACAAATCGCGGTCAAATACCGCTTCGGGCTCAAACAAGAACTCTCAGAATAACAAGATCTGGAGTACGAGCTCAACGGAGGAACGCGAACGGATCAAGGAGTTCTGGCTCGGTCTAGGAGAAGACGAGCGTCGAAACCTCGTCAAGATCGAGAAAGATACTGTCCTCAAGAAAATGAAGGAGCAGCAGAAACACAGCTGCAGCTGTGCGGTCTGTGGTAGAAAGCGGTCTGTACCTGTTTCCTTTGCAGTATATGATCTTCCAAAGAAAATTTACTGACACACATGATTTTGTGGTTCTATATACACTACGTCGCTCGATCGGCTTCCCTGCCACGTTAATCGCGTTGTATGGTCTGTATTCAGGCACGCGATCGAAGAAGAACTCGAGGTACTGTATGATGCTTATTACGAGGAGCTGGAACGGTACGCAAATCATCAACAGCGTTATGTCTCCTCAGGTGGTACTATACCACCGCCACCTGGACCTGGACCATTCCCAGGCAGCGTCGAACTAGACAAGAACGGCGTCGTCATTGGACACCCCCAGACCAAATCTCCTCGTAATCCACCTCGGACAAATAATAGGGCGACACCTCTCACAAACGGCCGGAAGCCTCCAAAGGCGGAAAGCGAATTCGAAGATGACGAAGGGGATGAGGAAGAGTTCGAGGAAGAAGACGGATACGATGAGGAGGATGACGAAGAAGAGGAGGAGGATGACGAGGGTGTGGAGGACGAGGATGATATCAAACCACGGGATCGACGTAATGCCGGTACTCGCGGGCGACGACCGGTAAACGGAACCAAGTCAAATGGTCGAGATGGACTGTTCAATCTAGGGAGCAGTCTAACCGTTACAGGTATGCATCGAGTTAATCTTCATCCGGGTTCTCGTCTTACCCCTTTTGTCTTAGGGCCGAATAATATTCTTACAGTCGCCGACGATCTCTTGAAGAACGACGGCCAGAAATTTCTTGAAATGATGGAGCAGCTGGCCGAACGTCGCATGCAGCGGGAAGAGGAGGCAGCTGCTGACCTAGAGGACGATAGCGATGAAGAGGACGAGGATGACGATGAAGAGGACGAGGACGAAGATGAGGATGATGACGAAGATGACGAGGAGGTCAGTTTTTATGTTCGTCGCGTTTGCGATCACGACCGGGAATACTTATCACACTTGGTAGGTGATGACGGAGGAGCAGAAGATGGAGGAGGGGAAGCGAATGTTTTCTATGTTCGCGGCTCGCATGTTCGAACAGCGGGTGCTTCAGGCGTACCGGGAGAAGGTGGCGCAGGAGCGCCAGCACCAACTCCTTCTTGAGCTGGAGGCTGAAGACCAGCTCACAAAGGAACGGGAGGCGAAGAAGCAATCGCAGAACCAGAAGAAGAAAGACAAGCGGAAGTAAGTCCGCCGTACACGATCTTTCTGAGGCGTTGATGCTGAGCTATGTAGGCAGCAGAAGCTGGCAAAGGAAGAGGAGCGTGCGGCTAAGGCTGCCGAAAAGGCAGCTGAGGAAGCTGCTTTGAAAGCTAAACAACTCGTTCAGGAGGAAGAGCAGCGTAGGAAACGCGAAGAGGAGAGAGCCCGTCGCGAGGCCGTACGCAAAGCTGCTGAGGAAGAGAGACAGCGGAAGGAAGAAGAACGACGGAAACGCATAGCTGAGGAAAGAGAACGTGAAGCTGAACGAGAACGGAGGCGCAAAGAAAAGGAGGAGAAAGCTAAACGTGAGAGGGAGGAAAAGGAGCGGAAGGCTAGGGAGGAGCGAGAAGCTAAAGCTGCTGCCGAGAGGGCTGCCCGTGAGGCTACCAAGAAAGAACAGCAAGAGAGAGAAGAGCGGGAGAAGAAGTTGGCGAAGGAACGAGAGGAAAAAGCGGAGAAGGAGCGTGCCGCTCAGCAACAGCGTGCTGCCGCCAAAAACTCCAGACAGCCTACTTCGCCGCGCCCTTCAAGTTCTGCGCAACGTTCGCAAAGCACGAACGGTGCCGCAAAGAAAATCCTTACAAAGCCAACGCCTTCGCCTTCTTCTGTACCTACGCCGGCACCTGTTAGTACCACGCCCAACAACGTTCGTACACAGCCGCAACGGCCACTGCCAACCTTATCCCAGCCTAATATGCCCGTTGTGCAGACTACTCCAAACCCGTTCCCTTCACCTTCTACTCCATTGTATCCCCCTGGAACTAGTATGGTCACTCAAGCAGTCAACACTCCTCGTTTGCCTTATGCACCGCCACCGTTCGGCGTCTTCGGACCTGGTCCATCCATGCAGCCAGCTTCTCTAGCGCCATCTGCCCTTTCGAGGAGCTTTGGATCTCCGTCTCCCTTTGATCCCTCTTTTAGCCGCCCTCTTACTAGTGCGCCTCTCGCAACCTCTTCCAAGGCAATACAGAACCCGCTCTCGTCTCCAACACTACTGGCGCCTGGATCCTCTCGCCGTACGTCGATACCCGAACCGGGGCCCGGTCCAGTTGCAAGGCCCCTTTCCATCTCTCCGCTGACCCCAGGTCCCATTTCCCCTCTGGGTCCAATTGCACCTCCGGCGCCAATCGCTAGGCCAACTGGGGAAGCCTCCGGTTCCAGTTCAGGCTCTCCTATCCGTCGCACTCCAAGCCCCAAGGTGCTTGGGTCTTCTGCGCTCGCTGCAGATGACGACGAAGTCGTGCCCCCTCCTGCAAGACGTGTCCCGCCCGGCGCTGTGGGGCAATCGTGGGGCAACAGCACCAGCCCACGAACTATCATGGGAGAACCGAGGGGACCTTGGGGCAATCCGACATCCGCTGCTTTCCCTACTCGCCCGCCCATCGGAGGCTCGTTGTGGGGAGGGATGAATGCCAACTCTGAATGGCCACAAGCTCCAGCGACATCTTTCTTCAATTCCTTCGTTAACAATCATACTAATTCCTCCCATTCGCCTCATTCTGGCAATTGACATTCACTTAATGATCAAGTGTAGCAACACACATAGTTAACTTTCACTCCCGTGAGACACTCTTTTCCGATCCTGCTTTTCGTATTGTGTTATCTCGACACGGGGAGATTTGATATGTTTCGAGTAACAAGCAGAAAATACACTAAAAGATTTGGAAAATCACGTCGCTGATCCATCTATCCGTAAGTTTAATACCAAAGCCCTCTAGGCGCTCCTCGACGCACAGGAAGAAGGCATGTGACCTTGCTAGTCGCGAAGGTTTACACACAAAAGACACATCAAACACGGCCGAAAGTGTGCCGGAAAGGAATTCGCAACTCGAATGCCTGCGAAAGAGTATGAATGTCTATGCAAGCGTTATAAAGGTCTGCAGTATGCCGGAAATTGTACAGGACTTTGGCCGTGATAAGTTTCATGCTGGGTGGTAGATGACATGACTGGTGAATGGTACGAGATATCGTTATATAGATGGGCAGAGAACGGCGTACAAGCAGTCGTCGATGATGTCGTCGACGATACCCAAGCGATAAAACATAGCAACGGGTTGTGCGTAACGTTGGAGACGGTCTGCGAATGCGTCGACACCCATCCTTCGCCACAGCTTACTATGCAAGACCACTTGTGATAAGCCGTAATGGATCTCGGGTCCTTCAAACCCAGGTACCTACGGGAACCCGTTCCACGAACTCACGAAGTGAGCTAGTGCAAACAACCTAAGTCTAGGGGTACACCTCAAAAGTGTACTCCTGTCGTATAAACTCATAACTGACGGCACCACCGTCGCTGACTCCAGCGACGCCGACATACGAGCGGCGCACGCCACTGTCCATAAGATTATGCACACACCCAACTATGTGCTTCCAACTAGTCTGCAGGACGTTCTGCAGCGTGATGAGTGGAAAACTCCAACCAAACATGCCAACCCCAAAGGCGCCCCACGCACGTGACCGGAGCTCCCGGTCCGGTATGATCGGTGATCATGAGTCTACAGACCTGTCCTGATGGGGTCAAGGAATAAGTGGTTCGTGCGAGGAGATATCTCTACAACAGCTTGCTGTATGCTGCTGGTGCTATTCTACTCCGTATGGCCTTAATGACATACAATGGCAGCGCGCTCACAGCAACAATGACTGCCACCTTCCAGGCAAATCGAGTAGACACCACAAACTCGAGATCTGGAAAAAAAATGCGTTCGATGAGATGGCTGGCTGAAGGCGCGAAGTGTATTGGCTCACCGAAGTATTCCGGCAGGAATGCAATACTAATAACATAAAGGAACAATGTGACCACCTCCGCGATAACCATGTACGTGTGCCTATGGAATCGCCAACATTTAAGGGAGGAGACTCTGAATCCGCTCGGGATTCCACCTACCATGTCGTTATCTCTAGACCAACCATGATAAGTTCGTTAAGAATGAGAGCGGTAAATGATATCGCGACGATATTCAGGAGTTCGTTTTCAAACAGAACTAGAGACATGATCATGATCGCAGCGCCTACTGGAGAAGTGAGAATTGCATTTAGAGACTATATCTCCTAACTGACCTTGGTACACACTGATCATCAGCCACTGGAAAAAGGTCTTGAAAGATAGCGACCGCCCCTTGAATGTACAAACCGGATGAGCAAGCACCGCTTCTTCCGACACAAGAACCATACCTTTGTCAGCTCCTTGTAAAGTTCCGGGTATATTAGGGCAATATCCTCATTGACATCTTGATCCAATACCAACGAAAACACGGGTGCCATAGTATAGACAGTTGCATACCCCATCATCAACCACCCCTGATATAAAGCTATAGGTGCGAAATAGAAAATCGCTGAGAACACGGCTTGCATCACGGAGATGATCAGGCCCCGATGGATGACGAACTGCGCGAGTTTGGCAGAACGTCGATAGGAGTTGCGGCCATGCCACATGAGGAGCTTCGCAAGATAACTGAATTGTGTGACGGAGAAATCGGCAGCAAGGGAGGCCTGTTTTCCTTCCTTACCAACAATGCCAACACCTGCATTGAAGGATCAGTTGAAGTTTCTCAACCGCAATTTATCATCCGATCACATACCGACGTCTGCTGCTTGAATCATGCTCACGTCGTTACCACCGTCCCCGATACAGCACACTCTCTTCTTTGTGTACTGACGGATCAAGCGAGCTACATCTGCTTTCTGCGTAGGAGAGCAACGACATGCCACGACTGCGGAAAGTTTCGTAGCAATTTCGATGAATTCGTTCTTGTAGGAGTTCAGGCACAACTAGGCGCGTGGAATGGTATCAGTACAATGATGAATTTGGCCAAGTAGGCCATACCCATACCTGTAGAGATTCGCCATCGATAACTAGACAGCAGTCCAATTTTGACTGCAAGAACTCCAACTGGTCACGAACCTGATCGCTCGTCTTCACTACCGGAATTATTGACAAATCTGCACGTGATCGAAAGAGAAGAATAGACACCTACGTTTTGCAACTTCATGGATATATTGGTTCCGCGCCACCAGTTTGGTAGATATGGCGATACATCTGGCAGTCTCGATTTTGTCTCCGGTTAACATCCATATCTTGATCCCAGCATTCCTCAGCAGTTCCAAAGTCGATTTGACCTCGTCTTGCAGTTTGTCTTCAACACCCGTAAGTCCCAGTAACTCGAGCTCCCTTTCCAGATACTCAGCAACCACGGCTGCCATTGCCTCATTTCGACCGTCCAGCCTAACGCTGGCTTCGTGATGGCGTTGTTTGAATGCGGCATAATTCTGTGGCGTCAGTCGCTTCCGGGCAACAACGAGCGTCCTTAGGCCTTCTCTTGCCATGTTACCAGTTTCCTCCTCGAGCCAGTCGTTCCTTTGAACGATGCGTGCCATTACGACGTCTGCGCCCTTCTGCAAAAAGAGTAACTCTCCTGACTGGGTCTCGCGCACGACAATTCCCATGCGCTTTGATTCGGATGTGAAAGGGAAGAGCTCCAAGATATCGTAGGATAGGCGGGTTCCAGTGGGCGTCTGCAATTCCATGCGAGTTCGATCGCGAAAGACAAGCGTAAGGCCAACTGACTCAGTCCATTTCACGATTGCAACCTCATCTGGAGAAGATGCCTGGTAGGTAAGGCTCCCATCGTCGTTAGAAACCGGAGTCACCTGATATGGGGTCAGAATCAAAGCCCTTCTGATGAAACGCAAGCAACATACGTTGTGACAGAGTGCAAGGCTTAAGACAACGTCACGCAATCTTGATGACATATCCCGTCGACCACGTGTCGCAAGTTGGGCTCCGGTCGCGATGGAAGGTTGCCTACCTAGCGGGATATATTAGCTCCGGACAATCCAGCCCCGACATGAAACGGGGTTTACCGTGCTCAGCACCAAAGGCGGTTGCGAGTTGATGCGCAACTTCATCCATGGAATCAAACCCATACGACATTGTTCCCATGTGTAGTTTCTTCATCTCCATTTCTGTCACCCGAAGTAAGATTGGCCTATCGAGATGCACTTCAAAGATGCTTACCATTTTGAGTCAGCGTCCCTGTCTTGTCGCTCAATAGATATTCTATTCGGCCGAGTTCTTCGGGAAGTGTACTCGTCCTCACGATCGTGTTCGGGATATCCGGATCAGTCATGATTTGGTTCGCATACACTGTCTTTCCCATGTCAAGGTTGACTCGTAAGCTGTGACGCAAGGTAACGTGGTACATGGGTGCTCGCGTTGACTACCAGAAGACCGAAAGCTTACCTTATGGGAATGATGGAGGAGAAAAGAATCAAAAACCGGAACACATAGATGTACCATAAGCCACGGAATCCATTCAGTGCGACGAGGACGACCGACAATGCGAATGTTACAGCACATAGAATCTAGAACAACTCGTCAGCTTTGACAACTAGTCCACTCAGACAATAGAATCGCTCACCTTGGCAAGTTTGTTGATTTCTAAATCCAATAGGCCAACTTTCGTCTCTGGATGGCTCGTGTTCATTACGGCCCTCGTCTCTGACCCAGTGTATACGACAAACCCTACGGCACTCCCGGCAGCAAGCACTGTATTTGACCAGACGACATTCTCCGCCGTCAATGGCTCCACCGTGGGCGCTGCGGTGTGTGACAGTGCTGGTGAAGAATCATGAGGTGAGGGGGGTAACGTGCCGTTTACTGTGAGTGTGCCGATAAACGTATGGAGATCCTTGATCGGGACATCGGCTGGATGATCAATTCGTCAGAAAACAAGCCAAGGAGAAGGAAAACAACCAGTTTCCTAAACCGACGTGCGTCGATTAAATAAAAAACTTACCGTAAATCTCGCCGTCTAGCATCATCAATTCTTTGTCGCTCCCCAGTTTCTGCGTAGTAGGAGCTGCAACACGCAACTTCCAGTCTGTCTCTCCATCCAACTGGTCCGTGCGAATGAAGCAAGTACCAGAAGGGTCTGAGGTACGCAGCAGCACCATATCAGCAGGGACACGTTGGTTCTTTTCTAGAATCACGAGATCACCGAGACGAAGGCTCGATGAAGGAACAGAGCGCGTGTGGGGACCAGAATCAGGAGTGTGTGACAAAGGGGGAACGAGTATGAGGTATTTCTGAGAGTTAGCCTCGCGATCCCGGAGGTGGCGTTTGTAGTCGTCGTATGCTTCTTTTCCCATTGTGACACACAACACGAAGGCAAGAGGAGCAACGTATGTGAAGATGAAGCCTGAATGAATATATTGATACTGAGTGAGTTAGCTGCACATATACTCAAAGAACGCACCAATCTTGAGCGCGGGTATGAATTGGGAGAGGGCGACAAGAAGGAAATAGAGGTTGAAGAAGAACTTGAATTGCTCATACAACACGAAGGGGAAGAATGTGAATAGGTTGTACTTTTGGTTGCGGACCATGTTAGGTGGGAAATGTGACTGAAACCTGTCTACAAACAGGGGTAAGTAGAGCGGAAGAGCTTTCGGTTGGTCACTTACCTCCAGGACGGAATGGAATAGTACGAGACTTGTCCTGTCGACTTCGCGACTTGGATAGTGTGGACGAACGCTGTTAGGTCTCCATGGGCACACATATGCCAGACTCGAACGAGGGGACGCACCCGAGACACCTGCAACTGCTTCATCTGCGTGGATTCTTCCACATCTTCCTCGTTTATGTCTCCATCCGCGTGCCTCTCGACATTCCCCAATAACGTTGCCTCCTCGTCAGATTCATCCGGGTACTGCTCTCTCATTTTTCCTTTCCCCTTATTCCTTCCTGTAATGAGACTCTTGCCGGCTGACCGAACGACGGCTGCCCTCAGGACGTTTGAATGCATTCTGCCCTCCGTTGACTCTGAATTGGTATCTTGGTGGTGATCGTGGCTGGACGAGGAGACGGGTGCAAAGGTACGAAGTGGGATGTCAGGTCCAGGCACGGACATGTAGACCCCTTCGATAGGACGAAAGCCACCAAATATCCTCCCAAGCTATAACCTGAACTATTCCGGTGCTTTTCGTGCGGGCGTTTGAGGAACGTTGGATAGCTAGGGAAACTTGTGTACAGCGGATAGCAGTGATATGTAATGCGTGAGGAGCCAAATAGCCGGTGCTAGCTTCTGTTATTGTGGGAGTCAAGACTTGTCTACTACCGGTCTTTCGATACTCTTCACTACAAGTACATACGACCAGAATGCGTTGGCTTACTGCAAGTTGTCGGACCTGTGGGTCCGCTTTTTGTTTGGCGGCGGATAATTATTGTTGCTGCGGACTCCACCCTCATGCTCGCTGCTTCCAGTAAAACAACCGCTGACCGTGTCTCTTGGAGCCTTGTCGTAGGCCAGCGCTCGCGCTCTATAAATACCTTCCCACTGGTTTCCCTGAGGTCTTAGTATCGACTCCATCACCCACGTCCCCGATGTCCAGTACTTTGACTTACACTCCTATCGAAGAAATCCCCAAGGTACTCTTCTGTGGAAGTGGTTCCTCGCCGATCTACTTACCATGTGATTAGATCAGGGATGACCTCCGCACTACTTTCAAGACGGGCGTAACTCGTTCACTTGAGTGGCGCAAGCGCCAACTTTACCAAGTTGCTCGACTGGCCCAGAATGAAGTGGAGGCCATCTGCGATGCGATGGCTCGCGACTTCGCTAAACCCCGTTTCGAGGTAATGGTGGCAGAGCTTGCTGCAGTCGTTCAGCGTGCCCTCAAGAGCGCAGAGAGCCTCGAGGAGTGGATCAAGCCCGAACATCCTGATGTCCCGGATTTCCAGAAGAGCTGGAAACCAACGTGCGAACCGTATAATAGTTGTTGACATGTGTAATCTCATTAGCTGCCCACAGAATATATAAAGTTCCTAAGGGCACTGTGTTGATTATCTCGTGCGTTTTCTGACCATGTGGCAGGCTTCTGCATGTCTGTTGACATTTCCCTTCGCAATCTAGACCGTGGAATTATCCTGTGATTCTTACTTTGCAACCCCTTATCGGAGCTATCTCCGCTGGGTGCTGCGCAATTTTGAAGCCATCCGAGGCTGTACCTCACTTTTCGAAACTCCTCGCAGAGCTTCTCCCCAAGTATCTCGATACGTCTACTTACCGTGTCATTAATGGTGCGGTTCCTGAGACGACGAAGATACTCGAACTGCAATGGGACCATATCTTCTACACTGGCAACGGGAGGGTCGCGCGTATTGTGGCGAGTGCAGCTGCCAAGCATTTGACACCATGCTCGTTAGAACTCGGAGGTAAAAGTCCGGTTGTCGTGGATGCCACGTACGACATGGAACTTGCTGCCAAGCGTATCTTGTGGGGCAAGTGTAATAATGCAGGCCAGGCAAGTGGTGATCGTTGATTCCTCCACGTGGGCGTTCAACTGGTATAACACACCCATAGATCTGCGTCTCTCCAGATTATATCCTCGTTCCCAGGCACAAACAAGATGAACTCATTAAAGGATTTGAAAAAGCTTACAAGGCTTTCTTCCCTGAAGGAGCTCTTGACGATGCAAACTACGGGAGCATCGTAAATGACCTCCATTTCCAGCGCCTGAGCGCACTGCTTGACCGCTCGCAGGGAGAGAAAGTAGGTGGAGTTTTCGGGGGTAGGAGAGATCCGGCGAGACGGCGATTCGAGCCTGTTATCGTCAAAGGCGTGGACGAAAACGATTCGTTGTTAGAAGAGTAAGAAAAACACGTCGAGGGTGAAGCATTTCTAACCCATTCCTCAGGGAAATATTCGGACCTATACTCCCCTTCATTGCTGTTGACTCGCTGGACGAAGCGATTGATTTCATCAACGCGAGGTGAGCACTAGACCAAGTCAACTCAGCTTTAGCTGACGTCTCATTGTAAGACCTCATCCTCTGGTTTTATATGCGTTCACAGAAGATCCTGCCGTTAAAGAAAGACGTGCGTTTGGTGTCTCGTATACTGTCGACTGTTCTGACAAATGTGTAATCTATTTCTCGATGCACAGTTATTAATGAGACTCAGAGCGGTGGTATTGCTTTTAACGACACTTTCCAACACCTCGCTGGTATGAGTACATGCCAGGCTTATTGTTTTCTACGGACACTCACGGTATTAACCATCTAGTTGGGGAGTTACCATTTTCGGGTGTCGGGGAGTCCGGATGTGCGTTCTCTCTTCCATCACCTTCACGCACTGATCATTCACATGTATTACGTCTATTCATTTTGCAGACGGTTACCAGTTCTTACGATACTCATTTGATGCTTTCACCCATATGCGAAGCTCCGTTGATATCCCTAGAAGGTGAGCCGGCATATTGCTTTTCTTAAGCCTTGTATATTAAGCAAACCGTCCTACGTTCTCATTGTGTTCGACAGTGAGGAGCGCAACCTAAGTTTACGATACCCGCCGTACAAGACCGAAGCATACCAAATGTTGGGTGGAGCCTTGAACACGCCTATACCTGAGTAACGTGATAGTGGTGGGGGTCACTTAGCGCTGGCGCCTTTAGTTCCGTCGAAACTTGGGGCTGTTTCCTGTTGCCTGGGAGTATAGTCGAGGAATTGTGTAGGCAGAAGTTAGATGTACATATGTATGTACAATTGAAGTTAGTGCATGATTTCCTGATTGTGCATCAGTTTGGACCACTTCCCATGTTGGTTAGTTTGCATATTGCACAATGCATACTGAGTTGGGCTGGATTATGTGATCACCAAAGAAACACAAAAAGAATGCCAGCCAATCAGTGGTCACCATTTGAGTGAATGTAACCCCTTGTCAGGGCCTGTCAGGGTCTTGCTTGCTAAGCACTCATTTCAGGCATTTTGCAGATGCTACTCCTAATGTCGCTTATGTAATGACAAGTTAACCTGGGTCCTGAGTGGTACTGCTGTGGCAGGGATTAGTCTGCTATGGACGACGACGGCGACCTTGCAAGGTTGTGGATTTTCTGTCGACCTCCTCACAAAACTCAACCATATTTTCAGGGCTATCACTTTGAGTCTGATAGAACATGGGTCTTCTCTGAATTATGATGATCACTCTCACGATGGTGCAGAGTTGCAGTTCCAACAAGACCTGCAGCGCGCTATAGAAGCTTCAAGGTCAGAATCAAGTACACCTGGACAACCTTCGAACGTTTCTGGTAGTAATCAAGCGAAAGTAAACGCCACAGCACCTTCACTTCAAACGCAGACTGGAACCTCAACGTCAGCTCCACCGAGCTCCTTTCTCACCGATCGCGCGCAGTTGGAAAGGGAACGGCTGGCCCGATTGAAACGACTACGTAGCGAGGAAAACAAAGACTCCTCGCCAAATAAGAGGCAAAATCTATTGACTTCGCAAACGCGTACTGACGAACGAATACATACCCCAACTACTTCTTCTGCTAGCTCTTCCAAAGCAAGTATTGCAGTCAATAACCAGGACGCCACTACGAACGTGAAGCCTGTGGTCAACACAAACCCCGTAATCGATCAACTATTCTGGGATGGCGAGCTTCGCCCTACCGCCAACTTACACTCCATGCCTAGACAAGATGGTAAACCGACATTTCGACTCACAGAAGTCCTCGGCCCTGTAAGTGATGCTGATCGACCCATCCCCTGTTTGTGTAAAGAGGTGCAAATCTTGACTGTCTTTAAGAAATCACAAATCACTTTTGCCATCATTTCGTCCTACTGTAATTCAGTATCGTGGATTTACGAGTTCTTCGAGCCTCGCACACCTGTCATCATAGTGGCTCAACCAGACTCGACGGGTCAGGCTGGCATTAAGAACATACTACCTAATTGGGTGATGACGGTGCCATTCTTGCGCAACGGGTACGGATGCCAGCATATGAAGGTACGTTTTCTCCGACTTCGTAAATTGTCATTTTGGTTCAAACAGCCCGACGACAATGGGTGCACTCTCTTGTAGTTCATGCTGGTAAATGGTTTCGTTTGAGCACTTGCGTATGTGTCATCATGGTCAATCTGTCAGATTTTCTACGAAACCGGTCGACTGCGCGTCGTCATCTCCACAGCGAACTTGGTAGATTACGACTGGCGCGATATAGAGAACGTGAATGAACTTTTCCGTTACACTGCACAAGTCGTATCTAATACCTCCGTCCTATTTTAGGCTGTCTGGCTCCAAGACGTTTCACTCCGTGCAAAACCCATTCCCCAGGATCACAAAGTCATAGATGACTTTCCTTCTATCATGCAACACGTCCTGCGTGCTGTAAACGTTCGCGACGCTCTAACCAATATGTTAACACACGAGGTTGGTCTTTTCTTATCACAACCGGTATACCTCGCCACTTATATTGGCTAGCATCCCAACCTCCCTCTTCAAGCCATCAGCGACCTACGCTCGAAATGGGATTGGTCCAAGGTCAAGGTCAAGTTGATCCCCTCGATTGCGGGGAAACATGAGGGCTGGCCTAAGGTTGTGCAGTCAGGACATCCGAGGTTAATGAAAGCCATCCGAGATTTCGGGCTTCGAACGGGACAAGGTAAGGCAGCTAAAGAGCTCATGATCGAATGTCAGGTAGGTAGTCGTGACGTGTTTGTGCGTTGGGCGACTTCATGTCCCGGCGCTTGCAGGGCTCCTCCATCGGAAATTACTCCACGCAGTGGTTGAACGAATTCTACTGGTCCGCGCGTGGCGAGTCCGCTGAGGACTGGCTAGTTGAAACCAAGGCGAGCCGGGCCAAACTTTCGTGGCCGCCGATAAAGATATTGTTCCCGAGTCTACGCACGGTAAAGGAGACCGTCCTTCGCGAACCTGTATGTGATCCTACACCATCGGACTGATCCATGATGCTAATATTATTTAGGGTGGTGGCACGATGTTCTGTCGAACCAATCAGTGGGAAGGGACAAGGTTTCCTCGAGAACTTTTCCACGACTCGAATAGTCTCGGTGGCAAGGTGCTAATGCACACCAAGGTTTGAGACTTTTGACTTACTCCATGGTAGACTACATTATTTAATTCCTCTCTAGATGATCGTTGGCACTTTTCGCCAAAGGTCGACACCGTTCTCACTTCCATCTTCGTCGTCAGCGGCTACATCCTCGAAAGGTAAAGGGAAGAGCAGTACCGAACCGATCACCATATCAGATAGCGAGACTGAAAGCGAGTCGGAGGACGATCGTGCTGGTGCGCATGCTGCGGCATCCTCGCCAAAGGAACCTATAGGATGGGCATATGTTGGATCACATAATTTTACGCCATCTGCTTGGGGAACATTATCGGGATCAGGGTTCAATCCGGTTTTGAACGTGCGATTTCTAGTCCTGTCCTTTCTTTTAGATATGGCCGTTGATCGTGTTATATGGATCCCACAGAACGTCAATTACGAGCTGGGAATACTATTCCCGCTGTATAACGAGCAAGAGGTGGAGAGGGTGTCATGTTTCAAGCGTCCGCCGAGAAAATATGTTCTTGGCCAGGATCGACCATGGGTTAGTTGTTTACTGAAACGTCCTTTCGCGTACCATACTCAAGTCACATTTCAGATTCAGGAAGAGTCTGGCATATTTATGAGCGGATAATTGATCCGAATGAGCCTAACGCGAGTTCAATGCTGACATTCACAAAATTCATGTACCGAGCTCGACTTGCGTGGCGCCGGTAGTACTTGACATCACATTTGCCCAGAAACTCGTGTAAGAACTGGTCCTCGAAGCGCAAATAGAATGTGTGATAAAACATCCGCAAAAAAGAGAGAATTAGCAGGGAGTTAAAATATGCATACAAGGATGAGGTGGAGATAGAGATAGTTAAAAAAAGGGTAGGGAATGGAGAGAAAGATGAAAAATACGAATCATGTAGCGCAATAATGTAGGGTAACAAAACGACGATCGTCATAAAGAAGAGAAGAGAGACTGGCAATGAGGCGAGTTTAAGAGATGTCCGTACGTCCTTGGGAGAAGATTCATGCATCCAGATCCGTTTCCGCTGCCATAGGATTATCTCTCTCGAACTTTTTCTTCATTGCACTCACTGTGAACACACAAGTCTTTGAGAATCGACGCAGAAACGGGTGGAGGCGCAATGTGGAAGACGAACCTTCCCTTGATATCTGACCAGAGTTGAGCCAGCCGCTGGGAAAGGCTGCTACGATCTACGAGACACAGGTGAGTAACAAGGAATGGATCCACTGAGAGAAGTATTCACTCACTCGTTGATAAAGCACCTTCCTTAAACCTTGTTCGCTGACTTGGTGTCCACTAGCTTCCAATTCGCTGTAGACGATGATAACCCAGATAAGCTATTGGTGACAGGAGACGCGCGTATGTCCACATACCTCTTCTCGTTGTCCAACCGACAACATTCATTACTGAGCATGACGAGCTGCCATATTATCGACCTCATCTGTTCGGTGAGTCTGTACTTCTTCGCAGGTGGATGAGCGTCCCGCGTGGATTCTTTGCCAGTTCCCGGCGCGTTCTCGAGTTCGTTGCCTTCAGTACCACTAGCCGCACCCCCGTCTTCGTGCGGGGCCGTATCGGTCACACTTGGGGTAGATGCACCCCCTGCCTCTGGTTCGGCAGTCTTCGTCTTCTCGTGCCGTCGGTCTGAGAGCAAGGCCGGGAGAGGTCAGCATGAGTGCCCGGAAAGGAGTAACTCCAAAGATGAAAATGCTCACACCATGCAGCGACGCTCTTCTCCCACTCCTCCTGTGCCTTTGGAAAGCCCTCTTTAGTGAGCTGAGCGAGTTGCTCAAGTAGCTCGTCCTGCCTCGCCGTCAGGAGACTATAGTGATCTGGGAACACCATTCGCTTGATGAGTTTCTATGAGAGATGTCAGGATCGACTATATGTTAGGAGTAATGCAAAGACTGACCATCATCGTGAAGCGATTATATGGGAAGAGGTTGGGCATGAGGTTGAAGAAGTCGTCGTCATACTCCCCGAGATGGATAGCCTTTAGAGCGACGTCGGCAAGTATGGGTTTGAGACCCGGCGGGAACTTCCCGCGGACACTCCAGTCCTCTGGTACAGCGTGAGAAAGACTGCACTGCAGGGTGGTGCAGGTGACAGACCTTTGGCGATGAAATCCTTGAGACCTTCGAGCGAAGCTTGTAGTTCGGGGTGGAATTCGGGCTAACGAGGAAGGATGATGTTGAACGTCATGACAAGGGTAGAGTGAAGGAATTACGGACGATGTCAATCACTTTGCGTTTCCTGCCGCCATCGTCGATGACAGTGTAGCTCTTCGGTCGCTTTTCAACCTTAGTGTCACCCAGAACGCTGATAGGACGGTCCTTTGTCCCGTCCTCATGTTTGCTGGGACCCGCCTCCGATACGGGAGGTTTCTTCGACTTGGGTTTCTTAGGTGACCGGCTACAGGGGTAAGTAATGAATGAGCCTGGTGGATATGACGAAAGCCAGCCACGCACCTATCCCTCATCAGTGCGACCTCGCCGCTCGAGACGTAGAACCCCTGTTGCTTTGTCTGAGCAAAGTGCGTTCGGTTGTCGATGTTGAGTTCCGAGTCGTCGATGAAAGGGTCGGTGACGTCGTAATATTCTGATGCGATATGCTTCTTCTACAAATGCGGTCGGTCAGGTGGATTCGTCAAAAGGAAAACAGCGCCAACCTTCTTCTTAGCTTTGGGACGGTCTGCTCCCTCATCTTCGCTGTCTGAAGTATCTTGTGCTTGAGCTTGTGTCTGTGGTGGAGGAGAGGAGGGTCGTTGGCCACTGGCTTTGGCCAAGTTTCCGATGTTGACATCATAGTGTTCGGGTCCGCCTAAGTTGACCTGGAGACGGATTGTCTGGAGCAGTGGTTGTCTTGGTGGAGGGGGCGTTGGGGAGCGGGAGCGTGGCTTGGAGGTTTTGGTCGACTTTGGTTTTGTGGAGCCTGTGCCCGCAGCAGAAACAGGTGCTGATTGGGAAGAAGTTTTAATTCTTTTGGAGGGCGGTGGCTTGTCGGGGTCGCTGACGACTCTGCGAGGGTCAGGGCCGCCGTCGGTGACGGGTTCGACGGAATTGTCGCGACTGCTGAGGGAGATAACATCCTTTGGGGCAGAGATAGGCCCGTTGTTGTGTAGCGCTGGCGGGGGAGGTTCTAAAAATTCGGAGGCTGATTTGCTGCGTGGGGACTGATTTACATCCGACATTTCGACGTCCTCAGGCATTACCGCTGACGACGACGACGAGTCAGTGTAGTACTTAATTACCAGAGAGCGTATCTGAGACGGGGGGGATTGGGGAGTTGTTGCGGTGGAGGTTGCCTAAAAAGGAACGTCTCAGGTGTCCGTCTCGCCATTTCTCAGCTCTCTGTCTGCCTCTTTTTACTTTTTTTTTCCACTCGGATATTTCGAACTTTGAACCTTTTGAATTTTGACATGTTGTTGGTTGGCGCGTCGCCCCCTCAGCACACTCTGCTCTGGCACAGCATTAGATAATCCTTTCCCATCGCTTCCAGATCGGCGTCGGCACTCGGCAGTCAGATCTCTTAGTAGGCTTGCCAGGATGTCTACCCTGGAATACGGTGGTGTGGCTCGCTTCTACACGGAGCTGGCAGAAATTCCAATCCCTACATCTGCTCAATTCGTCGCGAGCAATTCAACCACTGCAGGTACGGTACGATCCGTGATCTGATGCATAGTCTTCACGATCACCTCCCAAAGTCATTCGCGTCTCGTACTCGGTTCGCGACCATGAAAGGGACACCAAACGATCGATATCGAAAACCTTTACTTTGACCAGACCAGAATCTCAACCTGTCGATTGGACCCTTGTGTCTAGCACAGTCTACCAAGATGCATCTGACGTGCAAGCATCTGTTTTATCCCCTTCAAAGAAACGTCAGGCGATATTGCGCGAGATAGCTGAACCGAGTAACGGTGTGAAGAAACGATTTGTAGAAATATGGGCAGACTCGAGACTCGAGGCATCGCTCGAGGTCACCAAGCGGCACGGTCCATTCCATCCAGATGGTAACACTCTACCTACTCATATTCACACTTATGAACGGAAGACTTCTAGATTACTTCAAGTCGCTTTCTTTCTCTCCATCGGAAACTGCCCTACTCTACACTGCAGAGGCCAATCCAGAGTCGGTGGACAACCTTGGGGACGACCCATACCCCACCTTCCGCTTCAATCCTAACTTCGGAGAGGGACTTTATACCAAAAAGCGGCCTACTTTGTATATTTTTCGTTGGCGCGAACCCTCATCGGACGCTGCAAATTTCGAAGGGAGAGTTCCGAAGAAAGACTTGTCCTTGGTGTCCTTATCTCTTGTACAGTCTCCCGCTACCCCAGTGGTCTTTGGACAAGCTTCTTTCGCGACAGAAACACAGATCTTCGCAACGGGATACGAGCAAACAGCGGACGGGAGGATCCTCGGTATCAAATCCTGTTTCAACAGACCTTCGAGCATTTGGGAGCTTTCGTTGACCGACCAATCCAACGCCAACACTACATACTGTGCTGCCAACAAAATCGAGATACCTGGCAGATCTAACCGATCACCTCGTATCTTGTTCGACGGAGACAGGAAACCCTGTACTCTAGTATGGCTTTCCAACCCGACATTTGGACCCCACGCATCCACTGTTTCTCTGTACACGTATGATTTGGCGGAAAGATTACCCAGAGTTCTTTTAGAGCCGGATCAGGCGAATAACTTTCCTGGCTTGTACACGGATTACAGCCTCATAGATAGCCCGTTTATCAAGAAATCGGGTGAAGAAACGTATGTTGTTGCGCAATCACTTTGGCGCTCCCGCACGAAGGTCGTATCTGTAGCCCTTGATGGTGGGTATGTCTCCGACGAGACCAAGGCACTGGACGGTCAGGATGACAAACAATCCTTGTACAATTGGAGTCTTCTTTCAAGTGATGGAAATGGATCTGTGGTGTGCTCGAGGAGCACGCCGACTTCCCCTCCGCAGGTCGTTTTGCTTACCATAGAGAACGGCTCCTTTGCGAACATCCAAGTGCTCGACGAGCCTGTCTTCTCTGCCGAACGTAAGAGGACCTGTGCCCTTGCCCCAACAACTAGCTTGTACTGATACGTATTGCAGTACAGCAAGAGTTGGAGAAACTTACCCCTTGTGTTATACCCGTTCCGAACAGATACCCCACGGAGAGTGTGGTCATTCTCTCAAAGGAACCCCCAAAAGGTCAAAAACCTATATGTGTTACCGTCGTTCACGGAGGTCCACACGGTACAAGTACCACGGCATTCACCCCATCCGTCCTTGCACTCGCTCTGGATGGCTGTACGTCATTCTTTCACATTTCGTACTACATAGTCTGGAATCTCATGGTGGATATTATCAGACACGGTGTCGATGCCGAACTACACTGGTTCGATGGGGTTCGGGGAAAAGTATATCCAAGCTTTGCTAGGACGATGCGGGGAGCTCGATGTCGGAGACTGTATCGCGACAGTGAGAGAGCTCATTAAACTAGGAATTTCAGAAGAAGGTAGGCAAGTAGTAAGTGGCGGAAGTCACGGTGGATTTATTACTGCTCACTGTGAGTCTCCCGTATCATGCGTGTTTGTGTATTTTCTTGCTTACCACCCATACCTAATTCTCAGTAATCGGCCAATACCCCGATGTGTTTAGTGCTGCAGTCTTAAGAAACCCAGTGATATCCGTAGGAGAATTTCCCACTTCAGACATTCCAGATTGGGCGTATGGCGAGTTCGGGGTTGCCTTTGGTCCGCGCACACACATGAACCCTGGGACATTCGCTCAGCTATACAGTTCCTCCCCGATCGCCCATGTCGATAGGGTGCGCACGCCAGCGCTGCTCCTAATTGGCGAAGACGACCTCAGGGTGCCGACTAGTCAAGGGAAGGGATATTATCATGCTCTGAAGGGTCGCAACCAGGCTCCCGTGGAGATGTTCGTCTTTCCGAAGGAGTCCCACCCGCTCGATGGGGTCGAAGCTGCGCGGGTGTCAGTTGAGGCTACGCGGGATTGGTTTGCGAGGTTTTCCCGTTGAAAGGGAGGGGCTGGCTTGTGTGTAAGACCTGGGAGACGTGTACCAATAAATAGGGGTGTATTGACGGAAGTATTTCAGGGACAATCGTGTGATAAACGATGTAACCAAATACGGCCGAATATGAAGTCTCAGCCAAGCCCCGTCAGGCCCTTGATGGCATGCTTGATGAACGTGTGGGCTGTGTGAGTTGTTCCAGTACTTGCAGTGTGGACCATCACGGCAGACAAGTCCCTTTGCCATGGCACGTCTCATAACGGTCATACTACCAACTACAACCCAACCTGAATGCCTCGTCCACTACTTGGCAAGATACCCAAGTCGTCTGATGAAACCAGCGTGAGTGTTCCGGTTCATGGTTCAACGACGGCTCTCATAGTACCACGCTCATATCAGTCTCAGGCATCTTCTCACGGGAGCAAATCACCATCTCGGGATGTGAAACTCTTCACCAAAGGAAGAGCAGCGTTGAGGCGTTTCCTACATCTCCGCGATTCATCCGCACCCGCCAGTAGTATCATCACTAGCACCTCTACTCTTGCAAAAGGCGAGAGAACTTTCGGAACAGGACATGAGGTGTGTTTTGAACGTATAGTATACCTACGTCGAGCCGCCCTCATCTCGAAGGGTTGCACACACAGGTCACGAATGGAACACAACATATAGAGAACGACCTTGGTGCTGCAGCGGAAGGGTTTTCGGCCATGAGTGTCACACTTCGCTCCACCAAGATTGCAGTTGGCGCCGTAGACAACGCGAACACCGCCATGTCTGACCTATGCGCAATAGACGCCACATATCTCGCACCTCTCAGCATCTTTTATACGGTCGTCAATAGCATTGCCAACGTTCGCACATCTCGTCCACGCGGGTCTGCAGGCTGCTCACTAGAAAGTTATAGATACATCCGTATGCACAGATGGCGCTGAGCGCGCTAACTTCAGCGTCTCAGGTATGCCTTCAATTTGCCTAGTCTTCCCCAGTTTTACACCTCCCGGATAGTTGATTCTATCACAAGCGAACCTGGATGCATCCATCCGAGCCCTCCTTTCCAAAGTCAGTGAAACGTATCAGTTCATCATGGAAGAGGATACGTTGTCCCAGCTCGACGTCATGAAAGATACTCTAGCCCAAATAGCCCAAGTGGTCCAAGAGTGTGCGCAGTTCATCTCGAAGTACTCAGAAACGAAGAATTTCTGTGTGTATTTGTTACCTGGCTCTTCAACGATTAGACCAAACCAATCACTTCCACTCAGGGGTGCGACTTGGGAAGAACATATTCTCCGAGACGAGTACTAGGATTGGATGCTACAACTCGGCTCTGGATGGGCTCATGCAGCGCTTTCGCGACAAGGAACTTCGAGACATTCAAGTCAACGTTCACAGGATGCGCGAGGATCTCAGCCTGGAGGGCATGTCGTATGCCGGGGGGGCCGGACTAAACACCATGAAGACATGTTTGGACGGCACGAGAGCCGAGATTCTGAGCGAGATCTTTGACTGGATCAATGATACGGACCCTGCTTGCCCGCGTGTTTTCTGGCTTCATGGGCAAGCTGGCAAGGGAAAGTCCTCCATCGCGCATACCATCGCGTTGCAGGCCCAAAATCTCGGGATGCTCGGGTCGTGTTTCTGTTTCTCTCATGTTCGACAAGCCGAAGAACTTCACAAAAAGTTGATCACGACCATTGCTCGTGACTTGGCAGATCGCGATCTGCGACTCAAGCCCCTTCTGGCAGAGATGATTGCGAATAACCGTTCCCTCAGGGACACGGAAGATATCATGCAGCAGTGGCAGAAGTTCATACTGGAACCCGTGTCGAACCTGAAGGGACCCGCTGTTGGAAACGTCGTTATGGTTGTTGACGCCCTGGACGAAGGTGGTGGAACAGCCACGCGGGAGGAGATACTTAGCGTCTTTGCAACGCAGGCTGGAAAGCTCCCTCCAAACTTTCGCATACTTTTGACCTCACGGCCTCTGCAAGATATTATGGACACGTTGCAAAGTATCGGGCACATCAGGGCAACATCTCTTGAAGACGTCTCTGTCACGTCGACCATACGTGATATCCGGCTGTACGTCTCGGAGAAGCTGAAGCGCCAGAAGGGCATACATCAAGAAGAAGTCAACAAGATCGCAAAGAAGTCTGACGGTCTATTTGAGTGGGCTCGTCTTGCATGCGAATATATCAGGTCTCACGGAGCTGGAGAAACCGCGAAGGAACGTTTTGATGATCTCATTGCCCATACCACTGAGGAGGGAAGGACACTTCTGGATGACATGTATAACCTGGTCCTGGAGGACATCATCATCACGAAGCAGAGAACTCTCAGCCGGTTCCGTTCAGTAATGCGGCAAGTGCTGTACGCGTTGGATCCGCTTCCCATACACTCCCTGAACGCAATGCGTCGAAGTTTCTCGGGCCAGGAAGGTAGCTATCAGGTGGAAGTTATCCTGGACTATATGGCCCCACTGCTCAGTGGCATCATTGATCACTCGATCCCCGTTCGTCCTTTGCACGCATCTTTGTACGACTTCTTGACGGAGAAAAAGCGGAGTGGGCAGTTTTTCATCGATAAATGCGACATCCATAAGAATCTAGCCTCCGCCTCCCTCCACGTTATGCAAAGCAGTTTACGCTTCAACATCTGTGGACTGGAGACATCCTATGTGCGTAATTCAGCGATAGACGGCTTGGCTGCCAAGGTCGAAAAGAATATCTCCCCACACCTCTCGTATTCCTGTCGATTTTGGGCGACTCACCTTCGAGAAGCCGAATTCGACTCGCGTCTGGCGCAATCTCTAAAGGAGTTTCTGGATGGCGACCGGCTTCTCTTCTGGTTGGAGGCGCTCGGCCTATTAAAATCTATTGGCGAAGCCTATAGGGCTCTCATTGCTACCACAGCGTGGTTGGAGGTACGTAATGCGACACACTAGATCCTATTCCGGATTTTAACATGATGGCTACGCTCTCGTAGGGGAAAGAAGACTATCAGGACATCCTTCCAGTATTAAGGGACACCTGCAAATTTGTCTGCAACTTTGCGAGTCTTATCAACGAAAGCACCCCACACTTGTATTTGTCTGCACTGCCATTTTCTCCGACCAGTTCCGTTTTTGCAGCGCGGTTTCTCGCTCGGTTTCCGAACGTTGCTCAAGTCGCTACTGGGCGTCACCAGAATTGGCCCAGTAGCCAACATGTATTGCGTGGCCACGATTTATCGGTCGAATCCGTGGCGTTCTCGCCAGATGGAAAACGTGTAGTCTCGGCTTCCTCGGATGATACTATCCGGTTTTGGGATGCGGAAATAGGTACGCAGGTGGGGAAGCCCCTTCGGGGACACACCAAGCCGGTCTTCGCAATTGCATTCTCGCCCGATGGAAGGCGCATCGCGTCGGGCTCTTCGGATTGCACGATCCGGATTTGGGACGCGGAGAACGGTGCTCCGATTGGTGACCCTTTTCGTGGTCATTTTGATGCGGTGTACACGCTGGCATTCTCGCCAGATGGACGACGTATTGCGTCGGGGTCCAATGACAATGTGATTCGCCTTTGGGACGCAGATACGGGGGAACAAGCCGACAGCCCCCTTCAAGGTCATACCGCAGCAATCTTCTCTGTCGCATTCTCGCCCGACGGCAAACGAATTGCATCGGGTTCCTATGACCATACAATTCGCATTTGGGATTCAGAAAGAGGTGTGCAGGTCGGCAGCCCCCTCCGAGGGCATACCATGTCCGTCAACTCTATTGCATTCTCCCCTGACGGAAAACGCATCGTCTCAGGCTCATACGATCACACTATTCGACTTTGGGACTCGGAGACGGGTCGGAAGCTGGGAACACCATTTACTGGACACATAGGATCGGTTACCTCAGTGGCATTCCTTCCTGATGGGAAACACGTCGTGTCAGGCTCGTTCGATCATACGATTCGTCTTTGGGATGTGGGGATGGGTACCCAGTTAGGAAATCCCCTATGTGGGCATTCAGCGTCAGTCAATTCAGTCGCGTTCTCGCCCGACGGAAGGCGTCTTGCGTCTGGCTCCTACGACGACACCATCCGGTTCTGGGATGCAGAAGCAGGTGCACAGACCGGAAAGACACATAGCATGTCTGTCAGCTCGGTTGCGTTCTCACCAGATGGAAAGTGCGTTGTGTCAAGTTCATATGACGACGTGATCCGGCTTTGGGATGCAGAAAGTGGTACCCTGGTGGGTAATCCGTTCGAAGGGAACAGCTTCTCGGTCAAGTCGGTTACGTTCTCACCGAACGGAAAGTTCGTTGCGGGTTGCTTTGTTGATGCAATTCGTGTTTGGGACGTAGCGACAGGTATGCAATTTGGCACCGCATTCCGTGGACATACCAAATCGATCGAGTCAATCGCGTTCTCGCCAGATGGGAAGTGCATCGCTTCTGGCTCCCACGACCATACTGTTCGACTTTGGGACGTGGAAACTGGCACGCAGCTGGGCGACGCGATTCAGGGACATATCAAGACAGTCTACTCAGTCGTCTTCTCTCCAGATGGAAGTCGTATCGCATCGGGTTCATCAGATCGTACGATCCGACTTTGGGACACACAGACAGGCGCGCCAATTGGTGAACCACTCGGAGGTGCCTGGTCTGTTAACTCTCTAGCGTTCTCGCCAGATGGAGCACTTATCGCCTCAGGCTATCGGGACCACATTGTTCGACTCTGGGACATGCAGGCCGGAGCGCAGACAGGAAATCCGTTCCAAGGGCACACTGGGCAGGTCGATTCAGTGGCTTTTTCACCGGATGGAAAGTATGTTGTCTCAGGCTCTTCAGACCACACCATCCGAGTTTGGGACGTGGAGAAAGGCATACAGGTGGGCAACGCCCTTCGAGGGCACACTACCTTGGTCAACTTTGTTTCTTTCTCCCCCGATGGGAGACGTATCTTGTTGAGTTCCTACGGCGACACGCCTCGCGTGTGTTGCTTGCACTTCGGGCTCGGCTGCGCGCGTGCGAACACGTGCTCGCAAAAAAATTGGCACGGGCCGCCCTCCCGCCTGGGAAAATTTGCTTATCTGGCTGCAAATTTCCCGGTGCTAAGTCACTAGCACA